TCCCTTCGTTCCGAATTACTCGTCATAGAAATGGATGTATCTAGATGTATTTTAGTTCTAGATACATCCACTTCTACGACGAATAATTTGGAACGGGGGGAGTAGAAGATGATATTTCTGGCAACACACTCATAAGCCGCATGTGCAATGTTGTGGATTACAATGTTTTTTTAAGCCGTGGCAACGCACGGGCATACAACTAGTGATTGGTAATAGGTGGATGAAAGGGCCCGCCCCAGTTGAATTCCGAGGGGAGAAGAGGATTGGTTTGAAAAGTTCAGTAAAACATTTGTAGATTTTTATAGGTCTAGCATTATTGCTAAAACCGTCACTCAGTGAGTGGATCGAGATGTGACCTCGCCCTAGTTGCAGTATAGTGCTCATCAGTAGCCATCACAATTTCTTTAGGAAATAATGACTTGGTCACACTTGCATAAGAAATTGTTCCGTAACCACTGAAATAAAAAACGATTCCAGCTAGTTAATTATATCTTCCAATCCAACTATACAATATCAATTGTATGCAGTAGGTAAAAGTAAGTTGGCATTATTTGCTACACATACGTGACCCTGCATCTGCTGAGCCGGCCGGCCCCTATCATGACGACACTACTTAAATAGACTCGGGGACTTGATTGAAACACTGTTTGGAGTAAGCACGACATGGTGTACGTCTCCCGAGTGATGTACGTGTCTGTGTAGTACTAGAGTTCGTACCTGATTAGGTTTAGCTAAGGTGCCTAGCTCTAGTAGTATATATACATTGTACCTCCTTGTAAACAACAAGAAGAAAGATCACAAAAAATAGAAGAGAAGAAATAAAATCTTAGTAGGCATGAGACGTGCCTGTGGTAATACATTGATCCGGTGCTTTCCCCTCCGCTGAGAGAAGCCGAGACGTTCTGTCGACAGACTATTGATCGATTCGGTGCTTCCTTGCTTTTCTAGCTAGTTTGCACGTACGTGTTAGGGTGCATCCATCTAGCGTTCCAAAACCAACAAACACATGTATCGGTGGATAACACCACATCAGCAGGATCAATGGATGAACCAAAGAGTTTGTATATATCCGGTCAAAGCAGAGTTGGCATCAGATATGCAGATGTCAAACAAGTGATGTATACTGCGAATTATATGAGCCCTAAAAGCAGTCAATATAAGCGTAACTGCTTGTGGTGGAACCTTCTCATCAGAGTTAAGCCATAGACTTTACATGGGTGTTCGTATTTATCAGGATTAAAGCCAATATTTTTGGCACTATTGGTTCAGCAGTAGAAGACAGGCCCTTCGAGTACATGGTGTGTCTATGGCGACTCCATCAATCTCAAGATTTGCCGGCTTATCCTCTCACATGTGTTCATAGGGATATGGTGTGTGTGTGTGTGTGTGTGTGTGTGTGTGTGCGCGCGCGCGCGTGTGTGCGCGTATGTGCGTTCATGGAGGTACGATGTAAGCATGTGTATGTGAGCGTCTACGTCTGTATTGTGTTTCGAAAAGAAACTAGTTTTAGCATCATGTTTAGATAATGCACCCTATTTTCACAATAAGCACAATTCATTGAGCTGATCAATTTTTCTTTCTAATTGGTGTGCATCTTAAATAAATGAAAGTAATTTTTGCATTGAACCTGTTAAAAATATAATATGTACTTTGATTCCTTAACACAAAGGCTCAACCGGTAGTTACCCTATTAAATATGTAACTTACTTGCTACAAAATGAAAATTAGTAGTAATTACTTTTAAATTTGAATATGATGAAATTAATATTATCTAAATAATAACCTGATATTACTAGATAGATTTCATTCACAAACCACTTGATAACTCTTGCATACAAATTTTTGGCTACTTTGCAATATCAGGAGAATGGGATGAATCACTAATTCGCAAAAAAATTGGCACATTGATGCGGTGCGCGGCCTACATATCCCTATATATGAAGAGATAGAGGATTTTGTTGTATGGCACTTAACAAAGAATGGAACTTTCTCGGTTTGATCGGCCTGTTATAAACAGTGCAAAGCAAACTTTGACCCGGACAATATGGGGATGATGCGCTACTTTTTGGCACCACACCCAGTTTAGTGCAAGTTTTGGAATATAAATCTACCAGCAAAGAAAAAAATCTTTGGCACTGCTTGCACAATGCCATACAATGTTTTAGTGTTATCCCAAATCGTCACATAGGGAATATCTCCCAATGCCCAATCTGTCAATCAGGAGCGGATGATATTTCTCATATGCTCTTCAATTGCGCGCAATCGAAGGTACTGTGGGGTGTACTTGGGATTATACTAGATATTTCGCTACTCATACTGATCGTTCGGTTGCAGCAGTACTTGAGCTTTTGCTGTGCGACGACTCATACCAGAGATCCTATATGGGACGAGTTGATTTCCCAGAGCTGGTAGCCACTGCGTACTGGTACCTCTGGTGGCAAAGGAGGCAATTTGTCAGAGGTGATGAGGTGTACTCACCGGAGCAAACAATGCCTGCTATAATTGTGTTGGTTTTTAATTTTGTTCATGCCATGGGAAAAGTGTTGGTTGCTCCAAAATTTAATAAGTGTCTGATGATTCTTGCGGGACAGTAGGTTCTGAACGTCGATGCATCATTTTCTGTTGGTGACAATACTGGTGCGTGTGGTACAATTGTATGAGATCATCAAGGTCGTTTTATTACACCTTCTATGGCAAGGCTTGAACACATAGCTGATGTGGTCTCGCCCGAAGCAGCTGCATTGTTTGAGGGATTAAAATTATCACTAAGTATTGGATGCTATAATCTGATGGTGAGAATGGACAATAGTATAGTGGTGGACCCTATGAATCTCACTGAAGGACACTCCATGGTAGCAGCACCGGTGTTAGATGATTGTTGTAGTATTTTGAGTGAATTAGGGAAGGTTACTATTGAGCATTGTATAGTGTATATAGAGTCAAATGTAGTAGTTCATGAACTAGCAAGATGGGGATTTGTGAACAACCCATCTGTTTGGGCGGATGCACCCCTAATTTTCTTGTTCAATTTTTAGCGGATGATGTAACCCTTATTTGATGTGTCAAAAAAAAACTCTTGCATACAAAAAGAACTAAGAAAACATACTATTGATTTGTTAAATTAACTATGAGGACAAACTATTTCATGGTAGCTATTCAGATGAGACTCGATGGATTGGATGCTCCAGCAAGTCGAGGCTTTCTAGATCACGTTGGCACTGTTTAAATATGCATCTAAAATGACTCGAGGAATTCGTCCAAATGTACGCATGCAATGCACCCACACCAGCTAGATCAACAGTGTTATACATATGTTTTGTATGGATGAAGCATCCAAGAAATTTAGGAGGTTGTATATATCCAAAGGAGTAATGTATGGTTCTGCCGGTTGCAACCAAATGCCCCCCAAAAGTCGTCCTTCATATATCTTGTACTATCTTCAAGCTTAGTTAAAATCTGTGCTACATCATGGCCGGTGAAGCGACATGTACGTCCGAACGCACGCCCTTCTTGAGCCGGCACAAGGAAGCGACATGTACGTCTGAACGCATGCCCTTCTTGAGCCGGCACAAGGAAGCGACATGTACGTCTGAACGCACGCCCTTCTTGCTGCTAGCTTATTTTCTTGAGCCGGCCGGCCAAATTTACAGCTAATCTTCTAATAACTAAAGTAACATATCGTACAACAGCTCCATCTATACAAGTAGGTCGACACAAGTTGGCACGTATTCCATACAACTGCTCCTCACATGCATGCATATGTGCCGTAACGCTCGCAGGACCAGGCTAATTATATTGACTCAAAGACTTGTAATGCATGCACTCCACAAAGAGCTGACAAAACAGATTGTTCTATCCTTGCTCTAAACTAATAATGCGTCTGTTTACCTAAAAAAATCGAGTTCAAGCAGCTCAAACCTGTTTTGATTAACAAAGGCATATAACCATGGTTTTAAACAACACGCTATAGCACGAGATAGTGTCTAGAAGATATCCTGTACTAAGGGTCTTGTGTCTCAACACATAAGCAGCTGGAAATATTTTAAATAGCACACTGTAGCACGGCATGCTGTAGCATTTAGAAAACGTAGGCCACTAAGAGTGTTAGCGCGCTATTTAAAATTTTGCATATAACAACAAACCGGCTGTAGACTGAGTCAGTCGTCGTCGTTGGTATTTAAAAACAAAGGGCCAGCCTCGTGTGAAACTGCATATAACAACAAACTTTGCACAGATCTACAGAAACTTTGCAGTCCCACGTGGAAAGATTCTCCAAAGCCAATCAAACTAGCTAGCTAGTAGTCCATATATTCATACAAGCGGCGGCAACCTAGCCACAGCCAGCGAGAAAGAGCTTCTCAAAGGAGACAGAAATCGAGGAGAGTAAAAAAGAGGGAAGAGGATCCAGCACGCTACAAAGAGTGCGAGAGGGAGAGGCTGAGGGTCAAGCATGGAGTTTGCTACGGGGGCGATGAGCTCTCTCCTCCCCAAGCTGGGGGAGCTGCTCGTAGAGGAGTACGACCTGCAGAATAGTGTGAAGCAGGGGATCAAGGACCTCCGGGAGGAGCTCTTGATGATGCAAGCTGCACTTGTGAAGGTGTCCAATGTGCCACTGGAAGATCTTGATCCCGTGGTCAGGATTTGGGCCAACGACGTCAGGGAGCTATCATTTGCCATCGAGGACAGCCTCGACTCCTTCATGGTTCGTGTGGTGGGTCTTGAGCCAACCAAGCCTCACACCTTCTTGGGGTTCATCAAGGAGACAAAGAGCAAGGTCACCAAGCTCAAGCTTCGCCGCGAAATAGCCAAGAACATCAAAGGCGTCAAAATCCAAGTTAAAGAGGCGAAGGAGAGGTACGATAGATACAAAGATGTTATCAGTGATGCAAGTGTTGCAACAAAGGTTGATCCCCGCCTCTTAACTCTGTACAACAAAGTATCTAACCTTGTCGGCATCGACGAGGCTATCGATGAGCTAACAAAGAGGCTGTCCAAGAGTGATGATGTGGCCCAGCAAAAGCTCAAGACTGTTTCTGTCGTTGGATTTGGAGGATTGGGCAAGACAACTCTTGTTAAGGCAATATATGACAATCTTAAGAAGGAATTTGATTGTGGGGGGTTTTGTTATAGTGGGTCGGAATCCTGACAAGAAGAAAGTCCTTAGGGACATCCTCCATGAGCTGGACAAGCAAAAGAACATCACTGAATCAAAAATGGATGAAAAGCAACTCATCGAGCAGCTGCAAGAATTCCTTGCGGACAAGAGGTACATGTTACTCCATCATATTCTAGCAACTACCGTTAGGCGGTTCTATAGTGCTGAGTCAATTGTTTTAAATTTTACTGCTAATTAATGATAAATACTTTATATATGTAGATAAAAATAATACAATCGCATTGTAATGAAATTATATTCATGCCAATATTTTCTATGATTAGTTACATAGATAATTGTAGACGTATAAATGATCAAAGTTGCTTCATTGGGGATTATATGAAATCTGAACACTGTCTGTTGGGAAAGTAAGGAGTAATACTTTCAACAGCACATAAGTCAAGGACATTTCTATAGTGAGAAGTGGATATATATTATAGTTTTTGTCACCTAGAGATTTTTTTATATTGCTAGACTCCACACAATCTTCACTTCTATTAAAGCCTGGTATTTGTAGAGTATTGTATAGTGATTGCTTTAGTTATGGGATCTAAGTGATGACATGTTTCCTGTTTGAATGCAAACTGTAAACTTATTGTAGTTTTACGAATTCAAATCTTGTCATGCAAATAGGTACCTAATTGTTATTGATGACATCTGGGATGTATCAACATGGGAAATAATTAAATGTGCACTGGTGGATAGTAACTCCGGAAGTAGAGTAATCACAACTACTCGTATTCATGAAGTTGCCAAAAAAGTTGGTGGTGTTTACAACATAAAACCACTTTCTGATGATAACTCCAAAAAGCTATTCCATAGCAGAATATTTGGTGATGAAGACACAAGTCTTGGTGATCACTCAGATGAAATTTCCGATAATTTCTTCAGAAAATGTGGTGGTGTGCCATTAGCCATCATTACGTTAGCTAGCTTGCTTGTTAGTAAGCCAAGGGATGTCTGGTGTAAGGTGTTTGACTCAATTGGTTTTGGTCAGGAAGACAATGAAGCTATTCAGAACACAAGACAAATATTGTCTTTTAGCTATTATGATCTACCTTACCATCTGAAGACTTGTTTGTTGCACCTAAGTGGATATCCAGAAGATTGTTTCATTGTCAAAAATAGGGTGATATGGAAGTGGGTAGCGGAAGGCTTTATACCTATGGATCAAGAGATGGGTGCATTTGAGCTGGGACAGAGTTACTATAATGATCTTATAAATAGGAGTATGATCCAGTCAGTAGAGCCGGATATTATAGCAATGATAGATGGCTGTCGTGTTCATGACATTGTCCTTGATCTCATCCGCACCTTGTCAAGCGAATTAAACTTTGTTACAACACAAGACAATGTGCAACTCAACCCATGTTCGACCAGCACGAGCAGCAGTGCTCGTAGGTTAGCCATCCATGGTGGATCCGTTGAGCATATGGATATGGGGCATGTGAGGTCATTTAATGCTATCAGTTTTGTTAATCCTGTTCTGCCTCCACTTGTGAGTTTTAAAGTATTACGGGTACTGGTGCTAGAGAATTGTGATTTTTCTGTAGGAGGTTGTCACCTTGAACAGCTGGGGAAGTTGGTTCAGCTGAGGTACCTAGGGCTGATGGAAACACCTGTTACCGAGCTCCCACGTGACTTAGGGTATCAACTCAAGTTCTTGCAGACACTGAATATGGAGGACACTGGCATAAAAGAATTACCATCCTCTGTTGATGAGCTAAGCAAGCTGATGTGTCTGTGTGCTTCTGAAGGCACAATGATGATGGGCAGGGTAGGGAAACTTACGTCCCTAGAAGAGCTGACGCTATACCATGCGGACAAATCTCCAGACTTCACAACCGGGCTGGGAGAGCTGACGCAATTGAGGGTGCTCGGAATCCGTTTCGACGAGATGGAAGAGAGCACGTACATGGCTCTGGTCAAGTCTATGTACAACCTGCAGCGACTCCATAGTCTCGAGATAAGCAATGATGGAGTGGATGTTGAAGTTGATGGCTGGGAAGAGTGGGCTCCCCCTTCAGAGCTCCGTCAGTTCGCACTGCGTGGCATGGATATACCCAGGCGTCCATCATGGATGAATTCCTCTTGTGTTCGGCACCTCTCCTACCTATGGTTTGAAGTGCAAGAGTTGAAAGCACTGGATCTGCAAATCATAGGAAGGATGTCTTCACTCCGCTTCCTCTACCTATCAAATTCAGTGGTAGACTGGCTATCATATACTGTTGGTAGCCATGAGTTCCAGAACCTGACATATCTCAGGACACACGTAGAGATTGTGTGTGGAGAGGGAGCATTGCCGATGGTTGAGGAATTGACATGCTGTACTAGAGCGGGAAATGACGTTGGCTTGGCTGGAAATATGCCTTTTCTCAAGGAAGCCTGCTACTACCTTAACTGTTGTGATAGCAGTGGTGAGGAGGTGGACGGAGCAGAGGCAGCGCTGAGGCAAGCCGCAGAAACCCATCCCAACCGTCCCAAACTCGAGATAAACAGATTCCTTGATAAGGTACCTACGTTTGTACATGGTTTTCCAGCAATGGAAGCGTGTGTATCATGTGTTTCCAATGTATACATCTCATTCTTGAATAACTCTGTACATTGCCACGGATCAGTAACATTCTTCTAATTTCGCTGATTTGCTTCCTCAGTATATCCGTGATGATTCAGACGATGAGAATGATAACGGATCTGAGGGAGTGTTCTCTGCTGATGAAAAGGTATATGTATGTGCACTACAGCATATACTATTATCCCATCCTATCACTCGCATACAAGACATGTCACATCAAGTATATTTTCCTCTAACTTATTCCTTGCTTGCTTTTCTTTAAATTACAGTATGACGAGGATGAAGATGGCGAATCCAAGCAGGAACTTTCGGGTACCGACCAAGGGGTATACATACAACTGGCAACTCACATTAACTACTACCTCTGGTTACATACATGTATCTGACTGAGATGTATACATAGTGGGGTTTGTTTCACATTCTTCTTATTTTGCCGATTTGGTTCCTCAGTATATGAGTGAGGATTCAGACGATGAGAATGACAATGGATCCGAGGGAGTATCCTCTGTAGATGAAAAGGTATATGTATGTACACTACTGCATATACTCTTGTCCTATCCTATCACTCGCATACAAGACATGTCACGTCAAGTATATTTGCCTAACTTATTCCTTGCTTGTTTTTTTTTCTTAATTACAGTACGATGTGGATGAAGATGGCGAATCCAAGCAGGAACTTTCGGGTACCAGCCAAGAGGTATACAACTATACATACACCTGGCATCCCACATTAACTACTATACCTCTGGTTACATGCATGTCCGATGCACCTCCGTACATATAGTGGTTTATTTCACATTACTGATTTCTTGGTCCTCCAGTCGGATAATGATGTGGCGGACAAGATGTCTCATGTAACTATAGAGGAGGATGCGATGGCCACAGCGAGCAAACCATGAAACTTTTTCCCTTCCTTCAATCATGCTTGCCACCAAGTTTTAACTGTACGTATGTATAAATCTCAGTCTCTCTTTCCATTTCAATGCACATGCACGCACACAACGAACGCCATTTCTGTATGCTTTTACATGACAAGAATGGCACTTCATTTATCTTTATTACATTTAACAAAATTAAACTATTGTTTTGAAATTATTTTTCAATCTATCCTCTATTTGGAAGTCCCAAAAATCTGTACTGCATCATGTTCAGACCTATTTTTCGTCAGCTGTCAAATATCTATCTAGAGAATTCATGGTTCGTGTACACAAATTTATTGATGCATATATCTTGCCTAGCTATTTCATAACCACTCTTAATTGTTTTGCTGCCCGTTATTTACAGGTTGGTTGTACCTTTGATGCTATCAACAATCTTGTTGCCAGTTGAAAGGAAGTATTGGTGGGCTTACTTTGTGCATCAAGGCAAAAAAAAAACTTTGTTTGCTTTTATCATTACAGAAGTATTTTGCTAAAGTTTTTTTTCTTGTAGCATTAGCGGTTTTGTTCGTTGAATAACGAACGAGTCATTTAAAAAAACAAAAAGACTGAGAAAGAAAAAAAAGTGTTGGTACATTGTATTGCCTTCTTCTTAGTTAATTGAAAAATAAAAATGTTTGTGTTTTAACTTTATTTTTTTCTGCTTTTGGGGGTCGAGGATGGGGCTGGTGGCGTTAGTTTTTTTTTAAATTATTTTTGAGGCGTATTTGTTTGGGTTGGGGTTCGGGGGGTGGAACTCCGCCTATGTCATTTTAAGGTAATACTTAAAATGTATAGCCGGTCCCAAGCCCGGAAAAAGGAGGAGGGAGCAACCCTGTTTCATAGAGGGGAAAGTGATGTTGACTCGGTCATTTATACTAGTAATGCAGAAACATTCTATTCACAGAGAAGGGAAAGTCCAAAATTCAAGCCAAAGAGGATTTTCACTTGGGCCGCGGCTATAAATAAAGTGAGTATCGACCCAAACTCATTTCGGTCGGCGATTACACACGGCATTTAAGCATTTTTGAAGCATTATCATTTCTGGGCATTTTCAGCCAACATGTTCTCAAGATTATATTTCATCTTTAGTGTTTTTTGGCCTGGAGGGTTTATGTACATGCTATGCTCAGTGGCCCTGAAGCCCAAATGTCGACTTGTCTTTTTGTCCTCGCCCATTTCCAAGCATTTTCGCCTGATTAGCAATCATGATGCATGATTGTACATGATTTATATTGCTGCTCCATTTGACTGTACAACTCTAGCTGTCACAAAGTATTTATCCATATATGGATGCTGTGTTCACTAAAAGATACTTTTGCTCCATTGATTTCTCAAGGTGGCAGTGTCGAGACTAGTCACAGGCTTACAGCAGCTAGCAACAGTAATAATGGCGGTAGCTTGTTGCCTACCAGTGCCGGCCAAGCGATCTCCGAAGGCATTTCTGAAGGAGACACTGGAGAAACGGTAGGTTCTCTCTGATGTTCTTTGTGCGTTCTGTATCTTCCATCTATCCGAAAAACCTTTGATGCAGCTTACCTTTCTTGCAGGGAACAACAAACACTTACATTCATCGTTTTCATTCAGCTTCAGCACCAACACCTACAGGCAGCCGTGCTGGTGCAGTATTGGCGCCGCATCCAACTTGTTGGCACAATTCTTAAGATCCCAATGAGAAAATTAAGTCTTCAGCGCCAAGACCAACAGGCAACTGGTGTCGTGCAGTGTCGATGCCATGACCGACTTGTTTGCACTTGTTTTGAGACCACAATGAAAAGAAATGAAAGTTTTAGATGTACTATAATCCGGCGATTTGTCTGTTATTGTCAAATTAAAGGTGTGTCCACCTATTCACATCTACATTTTCTATGTACTATAACATCATTTTGTTCGCCTATTTACGAGAGTCGGCTTTGAAAATCAAGTTGTATTTTCACTTGTTCCTCGCAACAGAACCAATCATACATCAGGCACTTGATAATCATTTACATCATATATAGGTGATCCATATGGAGTGCTATTCTAGCTTCAGATACATTTATTTAACATCTCCAGTTTTCTTCCCGTTTTCAAGCTAGGTTGGTGAGACAGAGTACGATTCATACTATGGAATCTTACTTTTGCAAAGATGAATGGTGTTGTTACATAACTTCTGTTTCTAGTAGAAATTTGTTGGATGTTCTTGGCTTGTGGTGGCAATGATGAGACTAGCTACAACAGCTAGTAATGGTAATGGCCAGTGTAGCTTGTTGCTTGCCAAAGAGAGGAGTGGCATGTGAATAAGTGAAGGAACTGCAGGTACTGAATTTGGAGGTCATGCATCTCTGTTACTGATGCCATGCTATTTCAAAACTTAATTAATTTAATCTACCAGTACATGTTTCTGATAATTTGTCGAAAGCATGCATTCTAGTCGAAAATCGACATGCACTGCTCTTGTTTTGCGTACGTACTTGCAGAGAAGGACACCTAACTGGACACTGAATCTTTTGCTTGCTTTCAGCTTCAGCACAAATATCAAATAATTTTGCAACACACCTGCGGTTAATGACCATCACCCTGCTGATAGCGCCAGTGCCGGTGGGGTACGACAAGATAATGATGCATATCAAGCCTCAGTTTCAGAAGTGTCTGTTAAAACTTGTTGCCATTTTCCACGGTGCTTAACTGAATTCCTCTTTGCAGTTTTGATTCACTGTACTTTCTAGCATGCATTTATGTTTAATTACTTGCATTCTTAAACCACACTTGCAGTTTCCTTCATCAACCCTTCACTCGCTTCAGTAATTTAGAGTAACCAGCTTGGATGATGTCCATCAGTGCCTAGAGGGTAAGGGGGCAATTGCTGAAGGCTCTGTTATTTCCCTTCAGTTATCCCTTCCAGTCCCCTGTCTAAACATTAAGTGGCAAAAGTCTGAAGGCTCTGTTACTTCGCCCACCAATTATAATGCAGAGGCTATGAGATAATTAGATGGTAATCATGTACCAGTACAAGCTACTACTCCGTTTTGCAACATGAGTACTGACATGCATACGCCGATTATGTATATTGCAGCAGGTGACCACTGACAAATGGAAGTAAAGGTGTCCAGCATAACAAAAGAGGCAGCTGCATGCAACATGTCCGATTGACTAATGTTGATGGAGAACTACTCTGTATGACTCAGTCGGCATGCTTGCTGCAGAGCTTACATCCATTCACTCCTCGTCATCATCTTCATCTATAGAGTTTCTCTTAAATCTACAAGATTTCAAATTTCATTGGATAGCACGCATGATTCTCCCTACACCACTACATACTTCATTCTTGATGTGAGCAGGTGGAAGGGAAACTAGCTTGTAGATCTGCATCATGCTGCATGAATGCAGTGCAGGCCCTAAGCAATGGAGCCAAATGTTAAAAGTGTTAAAAAGAAATTAACCTAAGGTTAATCAACGAGTAAATTGCAGAAAACCACTACTTTGAAGGCTAGGTTTGCCAAAAACACTACAATATATTTTTTTTTTCCAAAAAACACCACGGTAATCTTTTTACAAAAAACACTGATCGGCGGATCAGGCTCAGTTAAGTGAGTTTATGACACGTGGGGTCTATTTTTTGCCTACGTGGCATAGCAGTTTAGGTTTAATGCGAAAACACCCCCAACATTCTTCGTCATGCCGCCCAAGCCCCCTGTATCCTTGGACTTTGTCCAGCCACCCGGTCAGCCTCGCGCCCGCGGCCGCCCGAGTTCACCGGAGCTCCAACCCCTGGACCTCGCCTGTCGCGTTTTCCCTGCATGAGCCGCCGTCGCCGCCCTAGTTAATCGTCGCCGCCCTAGTTAATCGCCGCCGCTTGACCTCCTCAACTTCTGGTGAGCCCCAAGTACCCCACGCGCCGGATCCGACCCGAGCACCACCACCTCGTCCGATTCCGGCGAGGGATACCACGCCGCCGTCCCGGTTTGGCTTCCTGCGCAAAAGGGATGCCCAGCGCCGCCAACGTTGACCGCCCCAGCCGCCGCCGTGCAGCGCAAATCCAGCGGCCCTCGGTCGCGACAGCCCTCGCTTAGCGCAAACCCACTGCCCTCGGTCTGGTGGGATGAGCTCGTGGCTGTCAGCCGCCATGCAGGACGGGCAGGCAGGGGTCGTCGCCATACAGATCTGGAGAGGGATGTTGCGCCGCTGCCCCGTTGTGGCTCCTGCACCGCTGCGCGAAGGAGATGCCCAGCGCCGCCAGCGTTGACCGCACCAACCAGCGGCGTGGGATGCACGTGGGTCTAATTGCTTTTTTACGTTTTGGTTCGGGGTGTCTATGTAAAATCTAAGGACTGGTTTGTAAATTTGGATTAGAATTGACCTGACACAAAAATGCAACGTCACGTAGGAAAAAAGGGGCCCCAACTGTCATAAACGTGTTTAACTGAGCCAAATCCGCCGATCAGTGCTATTTGCAAAAAAGATTACCGTAGACGTGGTGTTTTTTGAAAAAAATGTATTGTAGTGTTTTCTGCAAACCTAGCCCTCAAAGTGGTGGTTTTATGCAATTTACTCGTTAATCAACACTTTTTTGTTAGTTTATTGTGGAGCCAAAGGCAAAAGACAATACTTTTTTATGTTACATTGTTGGTAGGAAGGTTTTGTGATTGAGAAAACAACAGATATTGGAGAAGACTATTTGTGATTTATGCCCTTCGGTCGCTATAACCTGAAGGTTCTGCAAACATAATGGCAGTGAGTCATGTAAGTGTATGGCAGGTGTTTGGGCATCGTTTAGTTGCAGCTACAGGTACCGCTAAGGACCTTCTGGATATTGTCCTTGTGGCACCTTCAACGTCACAATTTAGAGAAGAACAAAGATGACAATATAGATGGGTTGTGACAGTTCAAATGATATGGCACCCTGCCAAGATGAGCTGCAAGAATTCAGACCTGTGATGAGGTAGATGTAAACGTGCAACATCCATCCAATCCAACATCAGAAAATAACCAAGGCACATACAAGCTAGATCATAAATCAGGAATACAGATAAGATAGATCAGTGAAAATGAACCAAATCAAGAATTTCTGAAGTTAAGCAGCCTTTGCAATCGAGGCAATAAAAAAAAGCATCGGAACAGGTGGAACACCCTTTTCTGTAACTTGTCTCACTTAAGACACACCAAAGTAACTTAACCAAGCAGCCCACTCATGAACAAGTAGCCAAATATCAGGTGATATATTAAGTGCCATCCACCTAGTTAGTTCCTCACATCACAGAACCGAAACTTAACCCGAACAACTGCATGAGTGATGAGTCACTGTCAAGGCATGATGCAGGTTGACTAATGACTATAGATATTAGGTAATAGAAAAAGTTGCAAAAATCAAATCCTACAAGTCCACTATAGGCCACTGCATACAAAAGGGAAGAACCTACATGCTGCATAGAG